TTCTCCAATGGTCCAGCACTGCCCTGTTCTCTGCGCCGGCTGCTCGGACTTCCCGGGCCCAGCACATAGAACAGGGCATTCTTTTTTCTGTGCGGCTGCTGGATTGCAGCCACACTGAAAAAAGCAGACAGCAGCTGTAGGCATCTCGCAACAAGGGGGGTGAGAAGCCCCTGGACATCCGCCCACCCACCTGCTGGCTGGCCGAGCTGGGCCAGGCTGGAAGAGGCATGTCTAGCGGGAGAAGGAAGAAAGCCTGCTCAAGAAGGGTGGGCAGATTTCCCGAGGCTGCTGCACATGCGCACTGCATGTGTAGCAGCTGCACACGCAGTGCGCATATGCAGCAGCCCTGGGACATCTGCCCGAGCTGTGCCATGGCCACCACTTGGTAGGGAAAGCTAGGAGAGCGCTCGGGACAAGTGAGCGACCAGGCGATCAGGTCAGGAGTGTGGCCAGCCAGGGGTCACCACCAGGGATGGGATCCGACCAGTATAACTACTGGTTCTGTTGCTCTGTGACGCGCGCGCATGCGCAAGTCACGCGAGTGCAATTTATGATCTGCTGAGCTGCCTGGACAGCTGAGCAGCGCTGCATACGGGTGCGCAGCAGATGGAAAAGCCCCTTTTCCTGCTTTTTTTTTGTGTGTGTAAACTTTATTTGAGTTTTCACAAAAAAAATACAAATAAAACATCTCTTTTGAAAGTAGTGTAATCCCAGGTTATATTTCTTCGTACAGACACAAATTCAATTTCATGCTCATTTTTATGTTCTATTCCATATCTTATTACTGGTTTACATTTTTTGCATAGCTTCTCCCCTCTTTTAATTTTCTCAATTTTATTTTAATTATCTTGTCTCAATTCAAATCATTATATTTATATTTTTTGTCTGTCCTGTTTCAATTATCTATTATCTTTTCTCATTAAACAAAATTTCTCCTGTAGTTACTGATTGGAGTATGACGCCTTTATATCTTTTAAGTTTATCCATTTAACTCTTATTTAGGCTTCAATATATACCCTAAAGTTATAACAATCAATATAATACATAACTTCCATTCGGATTCTGCTTGGTACATTCTTAAAATACACACTATATTCTTTAAAAAAGAAAAAATTATAAATATATGTAATTAAAACAACACATTCCATTCCAATTCAATTCTATCATTAATATTAATATTCATTAAAATCTTAACTTCTTTAACATTACTTTTCAATTATATATCATACTTCTATGGGAACAATTATAAGCTTTCCATAATTAATTCCCCCCCCTTCACTTATATTTTATAAAACATTAACTAATTAAAATGTTCCCGTCCCTTCCTAATTCAATTTTCTCATTTATTTTATTTCACTTATTTTATTAACAAACATTTCACTAGATTACACTATTTTACACCTCATTTTAATCACACATTGTTTCCAATTTTCTAAAGTTATTTCTATTACTAATATAACAATATAATCGTATGTACCTTTTTCAGTTAAATTTTCATGTACCTTTACAGAATCCCTTTTTCAGTTAAATTTTCACCCATTATCTCTAAATAGGTCCTGTTTCTCTATATCTTGTTCCAGTCCTTTGTAACTTCTTTTCCTTTCCTTCTTCCCTCTCTTCTTCTCTCTCCCCTTTTTACCCCCTTGTCTCTCTACCTCTATTTCTCTCTTCTGTATTCCCCTCTTCTGTTGCTTTCCAGTATTATACTTATTTTTTGAATTATTTTTCTTTGGTGGTTTTTTTAAGTCTTAAATTCTTCATTCTCTTCCCCCCCCCTTTCCTTTTTCTTCCCCACATAGAATTACTTGTTCATTAAAGATGGCTTCTTCTTTGTCCCAGTTTTGCAGATGTTTCTTGTTGTTTCTCATAGTTCCAAATCTCCATTTCTAAGAATTGAAAAATGAAGCCAAAAGAACCCCTCCCTTCTTGTGCATCTTTATACTTTTTAAGTTCCATTTTCAATTCATCCAGAAGTAGTGCCATTGTATAAATTTTTAAACAACCACCCGATTAATTTTAGTCATTCAAATGCAATAACCAAGAATCCAAAAATCACCAAGTAATCCAAATACACGCAAGTTGTTTCTTTTTGCTCTTTTTTTTCACTTTCTCTTCCTGGGGTTCTACTGTTTAGTTACAAAGTTTCAGTTAAAATGTATCTTTTAGAAATCTTGTTGAAGTTTTATTGTAGATTCTTTTTAATTCCAGGCAGTCTCCTCCCTCTTCCCAGATCCTGCTTATTCTTTTTCTCTCCCTTCCTGCTTATGAAAAAAAAATTTAGTGTCCAGAAATTTTTATTATCCCTTTGACATTTTGTTTTATTTTCAGCTTAATTGCCTGGTGATGTCAAAGTGGATTTTTTCGATTTCTTATTTAAGTCTCTTAGTTGTCAGTATAGGGAAAGGGAGAGAAGAAAAAATAACACCAAACCTTTCCCTTTTCACTTTGCTTCGCTGCTTCCGTCTCTTCTTTGGGAGCGATGTTATTTTTTTGTAAGTTTAAATTCCAGGGTACCTTAGTTGTTGCTTTTGCAATTTAACCTGGTCAGCCAAAACTTTCACTTCTTATTTTCCTCCTGCACATTCTTTTCCAATCAAGTTCTTCTTTGAGGTGGCCATTTCTGACCACCGCTGCAACAGCCTTTGGGAAAGGGAGTAAGGGCCAGCTGGGGAGGAGAGATGTGGCTCTCCTCAACCCTGCTGGCAGTCTCCCCCCTCTTCACCACCTCTACAGGGTGGCTTAGTCCTGAAACCAGCCAGCTCGGGGCGCTCCAGCAGCGAGCCCTGATCGAAACCGCACACAATCACGGATTTCTGTCTGTCGCTGAAGGAACTCAAACTGGAAGCTCTTTTCTTGCTTTTTCAACCGCAGTTGTGCCGCATAAAGCAGCTTTGGTTAAAAAAGCAGGAAATAAAGGACAGGTAAGAGCCCAGGCAGGCGGCCAAAACAGCACCAGACACAGAAACGGTTCTGTGTCTGCTGCTCTTCAGAGCTACCGGTTCTGTAGAGCCAGACAGAACCGGTAGAATCCCACCCACTCCTGGTCACCACCAGTTCAGCAACCAATGCCAAATCATCGCTACCAGTTCGCCCGAACCAGTAAGAACTGGTTGAATACCATCTCTGGTACAGTATCAACTCCTGAACATAACAGAACATGGCTGCTGTCAAAAAAACAGTTGTCTACTGGGACAACACAAAATATTCCTGCTCAGAATGTGCTGACACCAACACTGGCCATTCTGAGCTGAGAACAACTTATTCCAGCATCAGAGTTTTTCATCTTAGATTTTTTTTTTCCTTTTACAGCCTCTGTCTTCTGATAAAGACTCCGCCTTCTGATAGAGACAGGCAAATTGTCCCCAATCCTACTGGCGGGTCAAACACTGGTAAGTACACTTGTATGTTACATTTCCCAGAACTCTGGCAACTACCTGGCCTGTGTGCCAGGGACCACAGAAGGACAGGGAGGCAAAATATCACAGAGTTGAAAGGGGAATTTAAGCTCTTCTAGTCCAACCTCTTGCTCAGAGCAGAAATCCTCATACTATCCCAAACAACTGACTGTGTAATCTTTGCTTGCTCTATTCTGATGTAGCTGAAGAGACACAAAACTAGGTAAGAACATGAAAGGAAGAATCATAGAAAGGCCTTGGTATTTTCTGTTCACGCTAACCTGTTTAGCAGCAAACTAGAAGGTAAGCAGCTGTGTCCTTTTATAAACACACCGGCCTTAAGTAATTCTGCCCCATTTCTAGGTATGTAGGAAAAACGTTTGGGCGTTTCAGGATTTATTTCTGAACTGGATCCCAATGTGCCCTGTGCAACATTTTTGAAATCTCATTTCAGCAGAACTTAGAAGGAAATTATTACTAACTTAGGTGGGAAAGGAGAGCAAATACGCCAAATACAGATTCTCTGATCTTGGAAATTGCAGGCAAAATTTTTGCGATAAAAGAGAAAGGGAAAAACAGCGGGGAAAGAATTAAAATATCCTCTTGGAATGGTGGCAGCCTTTAGATAGCTCAGCAAATTCAAGCACAATGGCTATGGGCCATCAAGAGCTCTGAAGCACAACATCTGAATCAAATCACCACCCAGACAGTAACGTTCCTTTAAAGATCAGACACGGAAATACAAAAATCACACAATCGTCTTATTTCTCTGGTGAGCTTCCATAAGAAATGTTGTTTCCTCTAAGGAAGAGAAGAATGAACTACAGGGATGTTGGTTTGACCCAGTCAAACACTTTTTCTGTATCTAATATAAGTTTCACTCCAGTGGAAGAACAAGAAAATGCAAACCAAGGCAGGGACAAGCCAAAGGGACTGTCCAGTGAGGTGCACAGAATGTCAAACAATTATGAATAGAATAGAATAACAGAGTTGGAAGGGACCTTGGAGGTCTTCTAGTCCAACCCCTGCTTAGGTTGGAAACCCAACCCCACTTCAGACAAATGGTTGTCCAATCTCTTCTTAAAACCTTCCAGTGTTGGAGCATTTACAACTTCTGGAGGCAAGTTGTTCCACTGATTAATTGTTCTAACTTTCAGGAAATTTCTCTTTAGTTCTAAGTTGCATGAGAACCCAACACTGAAAGAGGACCATTCTGAAGTGGTTTGACCTCAAGACTTGAAATGGGCCCATTTTAAAGATGGATGCCGTCCAAAAGACTTCTAATACTCTGTTCTGAAATTGGAAAAGCCCCTTTCAAGGTTAGAACAGAACATTCTAGCAACACATCTCTTGTTTTTCATGGGAGAAGCTGAATTGAGGGAGGAACAATGGTGCAGTTCATTTTCTTGGGTGAGATATCTGCCTAAGCAGAGGACAGACGGAAAGGCTTCATACCGAAAGGCAAGTTTTCTGAGGAGTTCCTTCAGCACAAAGTACACACACCCTGTCTCCAAAGTGGTTGCCATAGTTCTGGCTCGCTACTCTCACGAGAGAAGACATTGGCAAGTTTCATTTCCTTTGAAAGTCTGTTGCAATGGCACTTACCAATATTTGGGTGTTTTAATAACCGGCAGATTCGAGCTTCCCGCTCTAGTTTCTGATGATCTGGAAAAAGAAAAAGAAAAGAGGAAAATGTATTAATGACTTCTGCTTTTCTGCCTATGTTCAAACAAAAATCAGACATAAACTGCCAATAAACAGACAGCAGAAAATGCATGGCAGTATCTCCCAGAACCTGTAAATATCCTAAAAAAAGGCAAACTTTCTATAGTAAATACTCTATAGGTGAAATATTCCAAAGGCAAATGTTTTATAGGATGTTTTGATTTAACTATGTTCCAGTTTTAGTTTCTTTTTCAGGCTTTAGAGAATATTTTCTGCTTGCTGACCAGCTTGAATTCTTTTAATTCTAGAAAAGAGATTTAAATTCAGGTGGAAAAGTAGCAGGGAGGGTGGGTGTGGTGACGTCACTTCTAAGGTTTCTCCCCTGGGTTTATTAATTTGCTGGGATTTGAAAATGCTAAGGAAAAAAAAACAGCTGGGACTTAGCTCTGTAAAGCAGGGGTGTCAAACTCAATTTCATTGACAGCCGCATCAGGGTTGTGTTTGAACTTGGGGGATGGGTGGGCGTGGCTGGGGTGGGCGTGGCCAGCTTGACATCACTCATGTCAGGGGCACCTATGGTAGCCCAAGTGCTCTGCCAGTGAAAACAGAGCCTGGGAGGCTTTGACAGCCTCCTACAACCCTCTGCCAGCAAAAACGGAGCTTGGGAAGGCCGTGAGCTCCGTTTTTGCTGGCAGAAGGTTGTAGGAGGCCGCCAAAGCCTCCAAGTTCCATTTTTTGCTGGCAGAGGCACCGCAGGCTGGTCCTTGGCTCTTTCCAGGGAAGCTCTGCAGGCCAGATCTAAACAACCCCCCAGGCCAGATCCGGCCCCTGGACCTTGAGTTTGACACCCCTGCTGTAAAGGGATGAGAGTCATCTGTAGGCAGATTAGTGAACGCTTGCCTCGTTCCCGTCATGGCCCAGTGCTAAAATACTACCCAGAGTTCACTTATCTCCTATCTCTTTTGTGCCCCTGTGTGGCAAATGATGGACAGATAGATTCCAGAACTTGCCACTGGAGGCAAAACTCTGCTCTTGGGAGATCCATGGATCATGTTTTGCTATGATACCCTTCTCCAGTAGTGTTATTATGCCTTCACAACCCAATGTAAAAGTTCAAAACTTTTGGTAAAGGTTTCACTTCTGTTTTAGTTTCAGATTTATTATATATGCTGGTCATTTTGTTCTGTAGTCACTAATCTATATGTTATACTTTCCACTTCAAAAGCAAATGACCTACCTACAAAAATAGTACAACTCAGTAATGGAAACAGCTATTGCCTTCTGCAGCAGTTAATCCTGTTCTTGCTATTATGTAATAAGAAAAACCATGGCTTATTTTTGATTCAAATTTAACTTTATGCCAACTCACCATTTTCAATTTTATGCAGAATCTGCAGTATCCACATGAAAATAAATAAGAGCCTACTCATGACAACATGCTTAAAGCCCTTGCTGTTTTTAAAGTATGCTCTCGATAATCCCTTTGGCAACTGTGGCAGCAGGAAAGCCTGAGATTTAATCAATTTTAATGGTCGAGCAAGCATTGGAATCTAGATGCACCTTGTTGAAGATACATATAGAAAAATTTATCGCCAACCCCAAATCAATTTAGGTACAGTTTTTTAGTATGAAGCCTGAAACAGGCTTTGGAAAACTTTGATCAGCCTGAGAACACAATACAGAAGAAGTCTAACACCTTTTCTGTTTTTGTGAGTTTGAGCTCACCCCATCAGCTGCATAGAGCGGCTGGACAGATGAAGTATTTAGAACATAAAACATAGAATTCTTTATTGGCCAAATCATAAGGATATAAGTGACAAAGTTACAGTTATACAGTCACAAGTGGGAGGGGATGGGCGATAAGGAGTGATGAAAAGGTTAATAGTAACAGTAGTGCAGACTTAGTAAATAGTTGGACAGTGTTGAGGGAATTATTTGTTTAGCAGAGTGATGGCGTTCAGGGAAAAACTGTCCTTGTGTCTAGTTGTTCTGGTGTGCAGGGCTCTATAGCGTCGTTTTGAGGGAAGGAGTTGAAACAGTTTGTGTCCAGGATGTGAGGGGTCTGTCGATATTTTCACATCCCTCTTTTTGACTCGTGCAGTATACAGGTCCTCAATTGAAGGCAGGTTGGTAGTAATATTTTTTTCTGCAGTCCTAATTACCCTCTGAAGTCTGTGTCTGCCCTGTTGGGTTGCAGAACCAAACCAGACAGTTATAGAGGTGCAGATGACAGACTCCATCATTCCATCATTCCTCGGTAGAACTGGATCAGCAGCTCCTTGGGCAGTTTGAGCTTCCTGAGTTGGTGCAGAAAGAACATTCTTGGTTGTGCTTTTTTGATGACATTTTTGATGTTAAGTGTCCACTTTAGGTCTTGTGACATAATAGAACCTAGAAATTTGAAGGTCTCTACTGTTGATACTGTGTTGTCTAGTATTGTAAGAGATGGTAATGGGAGGGTTTCTTCTAAAGTCTACCATTTAAATGGGGAATGAGGAAAGGGAACACAGTGTCAGGTGAGGCTTCATTCAAAATCCAAGAAAGAAACCATTCAACTCCATTGTTATAGAGAAAAGGACTTTTACTGGAAATCAAGTGGTAGCATCAAAAGAATTCACGATGTGAGGCACTAGGCATGAAAATCACATATGCAAAGTTATGGCAACGTTCCCACCCACAATAAGTTCAAACTGGCCATCCAATCTGAGATGTGTATAATGTCATGTGGGGCATCTTCAGGTGGTGATTCAGACATCTGGCCATTGATCTTGGCCTGGATAAGGTAAGATTCTGCGGCTGCGCTGTAAGCAAGCAAGCATATACAAGAAAGATTTCCCAAGTTTCACATTTCACCCTCTCAAGCCTCTAGCACTCTTCCCGCCTCCACCCTAACAAAGCTCAATGTATGCTGACTCCCCCCATTACTGTGGCAGTCGGAAAGACAAGCAGAAGAAAGATTCTTGAAGGCTGACCCACAGGTTGGTTATGCAGGTGCAGGTTACATGGGACACAGAGTACTAGCATCTTCAGCAATTAACAAGTATAGTGGATTAAAGACTCATTGTTGCTAGCTGAGACCGTTGGAGTTGCCACAGAGTGGTCAGGGAGGTTGAAATGCTCTGCAAGTACAGATTTAGAAGATTTATTAGGAGGAGTAGAAACTTTAAGGCAGAAGTTAAAGGATTTTGGTATGTTACCAGGTTTTCAGATTGCAGGTAGACATCAACCTGTGACCACAACTGAGCCCCCAAATTCCACTGTTAAGAGCGACACTTGTTACGTAAGCTTTTCCCCCTTTTACAATCTTTATTACCACAGTTGTTAAGTGAGTCACTGTCGTTAAGTTAGTAACATGGTTGTTAACTAAATCTGTCTTCCCCATTGCACTTTGCTCGCCAGAAGTTTGCAAAAGGAGAACATGTGACCCACACGACACTGCGCCCATCATAAATACATCCTGGTTGCCAAGACTCCAAATTTTGATCACATGACCCTAGGGGTGCTGCAACTATTGTAAGTGTGAAAATTTATTTATTTGTTTGTTTGTTTGTTTGTTTGTTTTGTATTGCCACCTATTCACCCATGGCGACTCAAACCGGCTTACACAATGTAAAATAGCAGTAGCCCTTAGACTTATATACTGCTTTATGTGCTTTACAGCCCTTTCTAAGCGGTTGACAGAATCAGCCTATTACCCCGAACAACCTAGGTCCTCATTTTACCCACCTCAGAAGGATGGAAGGCTGAGTCAACCTTGAGCCTGGTGGGATTCGATTTACCAAATTGCAGTAGGAGTAGCTTGCAGTACTGCACTCCAACCACTGCACCACCGAGGCTCTCTAAACCATATTTAAAATGAAAAATAAAAAATAAAAAAAAACAATAAAAAATAACAAAAAGAATCAAATAAATTAATAAAGTACAATAGAACAAAATCTGGAAGAAAAAAAAAAGATCACCCCCCCCCAACTCCCACCCCCTGCCCCGACGATAGCAGATCACACTAGCCATTTGACAGGCTCCATCCCGCTCTGGGTTCCCCAGACCCGGTCGTAAGTCACTTTTTTCAGTGCTGTTGTTATTTCAAATGGTCACTAAATGAATGGTTGTAAGTCAAGGTCTATCCGTAATAATCAGAAGACAAAGATGTTAACAAAAACATGAAATTATAAGTTCAAATAAACTGATGGAAAAAAACTGATTTTAAGATTGAGAAAAAAGTAAAGTACCTGGGTATTATTATGACAAATAGAAGTGCTATTTGAAAATGATCATGTTAAGACATATAATGAAATTAAGAAGGACATGATAAGGTGGGAGAAATTAACATGATCACTTTGGGGAGAATGCTTTGGCAAGAACGGTGCTTCTGTTTCAGATAATACCTGCTTTGACATCTGTTTACCATTTGAACAATGGCAAAAAGATGCATCTAAATTCATATAGCAAGGGGGAAAGTCAAATATGAAGTGTTATAAGATATAAAGGAAAGAGGAAGATGGGATTTATCATATTTGAAATTTCATTTTGCTGCTTATTATTTGAAATAGATGAAATAATGGATGTTGCTGAGAAACAAGAAAATTTAGAAGGTCACGACCTAAGGTTAGATGGCATGGATATTTATGATATAATAAAGTTAATTTGGATTTTAAAAAATCATTTTATTAGACATGCCATATTGAGAATATGGAATAGATATAAACCCAGGGTTGTGCACAAAACACTTTTATAGATCTCAGCTCAAGAGGCATATTATAGAAGAGAAACAGCAGACAAGGACAAATGGTTGACATATCAGAAATTATTGGAAAGCCATCAAGGGGAATTTAAAACTAAATCAAGAGAGCAATTAATAGCAGAATAATATATTTGTCAATGGTTTTCCCATTTACATTTATCAGAAAGATTAAAACGAACCAAAAGATTTATGGTGCAGAACAAAGTAAGAATTTAAAGAACAAGTATACACATGAACATGTAATTACTAAAATGTATGA